TGCTTACTAGCCAATTACATATACATATATATATGTGTATATATGTATATACACACACATATATATATTTTCATATATATGTATATATACATGTATACACACACAAGTCTTTTTTGCGAAAATATCTGTTCAGGTCCTTTGCCCATTTCATAAATCAGATTATCTTTTTTTTTTTTTTTTTTGGTAATGGGGATAGAACTTGGGTTCCTGTGCTTGCAAGGCAGGTGGTGGAACCACTGAGCTAAATCCCCGGCCCCAGATTATCTTTATTCTACTGGTTGTAAGAGTTCCTTATATATTCCAGGTATGGCTCTAATTTACAAATAATTTTTTCCATTCTATGAGTTGACTTCATTTTCTCAATGGTACTGTTTGGAGCACCAATGCTTGAAGCTTTTATAAAGTCACCTATCTACATTTTCTCTTTTGCTTGTACACATTGTGTTGTAAGGCTTTGCCTACCTGTTCATGAAGATGTACTCCTATGCTTTTTCAAAAAAGTTTCAGTTTTAGTTCTTAACTTTGTCTTCAATGTACGTAATTTTTGTAACATTTTTTACATAGCTTATAACTAATTTCACATTTATAAAAGCTGGAAAATTAATATAAAGAACTCTGACAAATTACAAATTCCATTCAACCCAGCTATTCCCTTTCTAGGTTTCTTCCCAGAAGATTTTAAGCCATCATACCACAGTGATACAGGCATACCGATATTTGTGTACCTGTCAATTCAATTTATTTATGTCAGTGTCAACTCATGGATTCTAATTTTATTCCATGAATTCAGTTATTATAATTTTTTAGTTTAAGCCCAAACAGTTTCAAGTTTGCCAACTGGGAGACTGTTTAAGCTGGTTTTTTTTATGTCCTTTTCATGTGTCTACAATTGTTTAATAACTTCATTTTCTTGTATGAGATATTTTGGGTTCATCTTGTATTCTTCAAGTCCCAAGCATTATTAAGCTAAAAACTCTTAAGAGTTCCTTTCAGGAAAGATGCTTAGAAACCAAGATCTCAGCCCCATGTATGCTCACTGAGTTGGAATACCCTTGTTCTTAAGTCATTCCAGCAGACAGAGCTAAGATTCAAATAACACATACATTTACACACATTTCTGTTTCTTCATACATATACACAGGATACATGGAGAGTAAATACACGCACACTGGTACCCACAGTTCAAATTCAACACTATGTAGGGTTCATTCTAATTTTCACCTTTTCTATCGTTTTTTTTTTTTTTTTTTTTTTTTTTTTTTTTTGTATTGAGGCAGAAAGCACACTTTATCTACACCCATGGGCCTGGTTGGGATAGTACCTCAAAGAACCAGGCCCCCTTTTCATATCTTAATGTCCTTCTCCCTTCCATACCATTTCTACTTGTATCCCTTGTAGGTAAATAATCTCATTTGTATCTGGTTTAAGTTCCTGGTCCTTCTTTTTGCAAAGATACAAAACAAAGGTGCATATTTCTGAATATCCTGCAAATCACTTGCTTCACAATGATCTCGTTGGTTTTTACAGCTGCACAGTATTCTGTTGAGTAATATATTATCATTTATTAATCTAAATTCCCAGGTATGGACATTTATTCTGATTACAAGAACTGCTACAATGACTAATCTTGTGCAAAAGCATTTCTAAGAATATCTTCAGGATTAATTAATTAGGATTAATGCCTAGAAGTAGGATTGCTGTGTCAGAGGTAAATGCATGTATAATTTTATTAGGTACTGTCACACTCCTCTTCATTAAGGCTGCACTATTATATAGCCATCAGTATGACAGCACCTTTTTGCTTAGCAAAAGATTTTTTTTCACCTTTCACTGGATAGTACAACAAAAATTAAGCAGCTTGATAATACAATACGCTAAATGAGAATTTAGTGCCCTGAAGTAGTTATAATCTGTATTTCTCTTATTATGAGAGGCAATATATTACTACCCGTGCATTACTGAGACTATAAAGGAGAACAAAATCCCCCTGGGTGCTTTAGGTTACACCTCTGGGAGAATAAGAATGAATTGGTAAGACAAAGGGTCTTTTCTACATTTCTTAGGCTCTTTGTTTATTTCTCCAGCATTTACTTCCTGTACCTTGGTACTGTTCTTGACAATCTTTTTTTTTTTTGGTACTGGGGATTGAACTCAGGACCTTGTACTTGCGAGGAAGGTGGCGGAACCACTGAGCTAAATCCCTGGCCCTTGTCCTTATAATCTTACTCCACTTTCACTTTGAGGGCAAAAATACAGTATATGAAGGAAGCAATGGGACCAGATAGACCTACTAACCTTTTATTTCTGCTGTGGCTCAGTATTTCAGACAGACAACAGGGAAGAAAATGAGAAAGCAGGGAAGAAGGTATTAAGAATATGGTCATCATGAGGCCTACCAGAGCAAATCAAATAGGCAAGGCAAGAAATTAAAAGAAGGTGAAAAAGTAAAAAGAGTTAACAAAAGGCCAATAACATGTCAATAATAAGTCAGTACATATCAATTATAACCAGCAATGTCAATGGCCTCAACTCACCAATCAAGAGAAACGGACTGGCAAAATGGAATAAGAAGCAAAATCCAACAACATGTTGTATACAAGAAACACACCTAGTGCAAAAAAGAAGCCCTTAGACTGAAAGTGAAAAGATAGAAAACAATTCTCCATGTGACAGGAGCCCAGAAAAAAACAGGGGTAGCAATCTTATTTGCAGACAAAGTAAATTTCAAACCAAAGCTGATTCTAGTATTATTGATGTAGGACGGTATGGTATCATACCTCTATGAATGTAAAATATCTTGTACCTGCTTTATGATACATAGTAGGGACTGTGCTTTATCAGAGCTACATTTAATGATATTACTCTAGAATGTTCTCTCCAGATGATGATTAAGATGCTAATAAAATAAAAATGGTCCCAGGTACCACAACAGCAACACAACTTTGCTGTTTTCTGGATATTATTTTTTTCTGTGTTTTTTGTTTTGTTTTGTTTTGTTTTTAATGGAATGTGCTAAATGTCTCTAATTTTGTTCAGATGACTGCAGAACCTGGAAAAGCTGTTCCTGCCATTGATGTATAACATACTATTATTAGTTTTTTTATATAAATATAAATATATATATATATACATATATATATAAATTGAATTTTGGGAAACTAACGGTGCTGCCAACTTTGGAAAAAGTCATCCCAATTTACTGTGTTGAGTTGGCATTGTACAGAAATGGACAGTCATATTGGTC